TTTTTTTAATTCTGTCTCTCAGAGTGGGAATGCACCTACAATGTGAATTTCAGACCCCTCCATGATTTCTAAGTGGGAGAACTTGCAAAATCGCAGGGTGTTCAAATACTTCTGTTCCTCACTGTATCTGAGTGAACCTATCGTCAACATCTCAGTTTTAATCAGGACCGAAAAGCAGAAAATTTCTCAACATCCAGGTTTTCACATCTGGCAATCAGGTCTCAAGCCTGGGGATACCAGAAACATCATCCATCTTCATAGGACTAAAAAGCAAATATCAGCGTAACCGTGAAAGTCAATACCATGATCATTTATAATTTGACTGATTGATTAAATATAAATGATAAATACAAATGGGCCAAGATCAGAACCTTGTGGCACTCCAAAATTAACATCATAAAAAGTCAGTGTGTTATTATTATTATGAGACATATTGATAGGTAAGTCCAAGGCCCAATACAGGTCGCAAGACTCTTTTCAAGTCAGTCAAAAAATACCATGATCACTGATATCAAAAGCAATACTAAGATCTAGCAGAAGCAAAACAGACAGAATTTGAATCAATATTCATTACAAGACCATTCGCGAACTTCATGCTGTTTTGGTGGAATGGCAGTCTAAAGCTGACTGATATACTTTAAAGAGATTAGTGTTATATATTTAAGATGAATGAATGATGTTGAAACACACAGAAACAGGACAACAGGAATGGCTTCCTTCAATAAAGCTTTTACCATAGGAACTTTAAAATCACTAAGAACAATGTCAATCGTAATTAACACAATTACCTTAGTCAGTTTAGCTTGGAGAGGATCAAAGTCACATATACTAAGTTCAGTCTGCACCAGATGCATGCAAGTATGTATGAATGAATGTTTTATATTTTTCCTGTAATATACTGTAAATACTGTTTACAAACTAAGTCACTGTGACCAAAAAAAAAAGACAAGCCTAACAAAACATTCACACTAAAGTTTGTGTGTTTCAGTCACTGAGGACCACTGAAACAAGTAGGCTTACATGTTGTTTCGAGTTTTGATTGTGACTCACCTTTGAGAACTCAAACGCTGCTTTATCCACAAACTCTTTCTCAGACCACACTCTGGACCTTGGACCGATCTCTCTGTCAGAAAATAAGAACACAGTTTCTGTTTGCCTGCTGCAGGTAATATGATGACATAAACAGGTGTATGAAAAACAGTACCTGCTTTCCAGAGCTCCAACCACAATCGCTATCAGGTAGGAAGGCATGGGCACCTGAGGACAAAAGTAGATCCTGAAACGTATCTATTGTCATTGTTGTTGACCCATTTAATCTCAGAGAGTTGATTGTTATTACCATGAATAATTTCACTGATTTGTGGTGCCGCATGTGGGTGTCTTGCTAATGCACTCTCTTGTGTGTTTGTTATTTTTCCTAGTTTTCTCAGTCTTCAGCAACCCATCCTGGATTACCTTCACCAGAGAAGAGCTACTAAACATCAGACAACTCACTCCGAACACCTCTGATCATGATATTATTTGCAGTAGTTATGTAAGGGTGGGCTAAGTGTTTATATAATCTTGGAGAGATCTGTTTCTCTTCTTTGAAATGTTTGACAATGTTTGTGCATGAGGAGCCTTGGAAACCATCTACTGATAGCCCAAGGCTGATAGGGAACCTCCCTTAAATGGGAAGCTTGAAGTTGGACATAACTTCAGCCTTATGTGAACTGTTCGTGTGCTCTGTTCATGTTTAGAAAAGGAAATGTGTGCTAGGTCAATGCAACCTAGAAGTTCATGAACTGGACATCTCAGACAATTCCCAGAAGGAGGGGAGTGTACAGGAGGTGTAACCAGGAGATGATAAAAGTTGATAGCTGTGGGTTAGTGGTAGGAAGTAAGGATGATGCTGCAGTAGAGTGTGCATGTTTGGGAAGGGCAGATGAACAGGCAGAACCTGGCCGGGAGGGGACTCTGGACTGACCGACTGTAGGGCCAACCATGCCTGACTGACTCTTTGACAATTCTCATATCTAATACTTTTTTTATTCTTTATGCAGGAGCAGTAATTCTATCCCCTATCGTTCCGATTTCTGAAGTGTCTTACAATTTATTGAACTGCTCAGAATTATTGTAATATTAAGTGATTATTTGAATTGGGATGATTTGCCTGAATTAATTTAGTCCACACCAGACCCTACCCACTACACTGCAAGTCTTTTTTTTCTAGCTGGAAAAGTCCCATTTAAAGATCTGGCATCATTTCAGAGGTCAAACCACAGCAGGTGATAAGTGGTGGAACCTGTTCTAAAGGCTGTGTTCAGACTGACAATTACAATGTGTGAAAAAAATGTAGCTTCCTAATTCAGTTCAACAGACCACTGCAGTGAAACATGCAGCATTTTTGGGCAATGAGATTTTAGCCACTCAAATACCATAATTTCCGGACTATAAGCCGCACCCACCAAATGTAAGACAAAAAAATATTTTGTACATAGCCGCAGGTGTCCACGTTGTAACATGAGACATTTCGACAGCCAGATTGATCGCCTGTAAATTGAAGCGGCATCATATGCATTTCGTCGTGTGTTGTCCAGGATGAGGGTGTGTGCATGAAGCGACAAAAGTAGCGGCTGATAGTCCGGAAAGTACGGTACATGCAATTATACTTTTCTGATGGTGTAATTCTACCATTTATCTGACGATCATGAAGATAGAAGACAGTCCAGGCTATACTTTTCAGGGTTTTAAAATGTTATCTTATAAACCTCTATGCTCAAGTGTGCATGAATCTTCTCTTCACACTGGATTGTATTTCATCTTTTCTACTGTATCTGAGGCAACACCAGCGCAGGCCCTGGTGTAAGACAGGGCTGGTTTGAAGGTCTGAAGACACGCTTCAGGGGTGTTTCAGAATCTGTGAAATCATCTGAGGCCACTGGCCAGACTGTTCTTCAGTTGTTTGCTGCAAGTCTAATTAGCTACTGTAGAGCTGCTCAACCCACTGTTGTCTAATCACTCCTAGTTAAGTGGTTACTGTGAGCAGTCAAGACAAACTATTAAAGAAGTCAGAAGGTTAACGCTAACAATCTGCAAAGAAAGTGCAAAAAACTGACTGTAAATGGGTCAAATAAACATGGAATTGTCCTAACCCTTAAATAAAAAAATGACATATAGGACTCAATTCTTTTTCCTGTAATAACTGATCAGCAGCCCAGCAGTGACGATTATGTCTGTGCTGTGTAAACATACTGAAAAAGAGAGAAAGATTGGATGAGGAGGGAAAAGGAACTAGCACAGTCTACATTCTGCTGAATGTTACTGCGTGAGACTGATGTAAATCAGAGCTCTGTGTGTCGATCAGGTTGGACTACTCTTTAAAAGTTATTTATTGATGCATAACATTAAGTAAAATGAGAGCCAAGTATGTAGCATAATACACCACGGGTAGCTGCCTATGTTAAGGTTGCACTGTTCATTCTGAATGTAATGAATAGAATTGGATGACAGTCCAAATTATGTTTGTTTCATTCAGGTTTTCTATAAGGCGGTGAGAAATTTCACATTGCTCTCATGAACTTCATTAGTGCTGTGATGTACTTTTATAATGAAATATATAGATTTCATATAGGCTACATTTTAAGTTTAGGGTTTGTTGTGTTCATTATTGGTACTTAATGGTATTGGTACGGGGGTGGCTGTGGCTCACGAGGTAGGGCAGTCATCTCCTGACCAGCAAGTTGGTGGTTCAACACCCGGTCTCCCCGCATGCCTAAGTGTCCCTGAGCAAGACACTGAACCCCGAATTGCTCCCGGTGGCTTGACTAGTGCCGTTGTGTGGCAGCCTGTCGTCATCGGTGTGTGAATGTTGTGTGTGAATGGGTGAATGGTGTATCATCTCTGTAAAGGCCAGTGCAACACACTGTGAGAAAAGCGCTATATAAAATACAGTCCATTTACCATTTACTTTGCAATTTCACACATTGTAGAGATTCATGATGCATTTTTGTAAGTTTGGGTCCCAGAGAGAAACCAAATTTGTCTTTTGGGTCTCAAGTTGAAAAGGTTTGGGAACAACTGTTCTAAAAAAAATTTTTTTAATTTTCATGTCAGTGTTAACAAAAACATATGGTGACACTTTATTTTTATGGGTTCAGTATTTTAATAATAATTTTCTGGTAACAATTAATTTGGTACAAGTTATAAGATCAGTGTTGAGTGTTTTCAATGTCAGATGGTACCAACCTGTTGTTGGTCAGGATGAAGAAGAAATAAAGAGATTGAGACTGTTATGACACTATACAAGTATTAATATGTCCTGTTCATGTCTGTGACATCTTCTGCATTAAACTGTCTATAGAGTTGATGGACACCTGATATCAAATAAGTGAACAGCACTAGAAGATGACACCTACCGGCTGTCTGAATCTGTAGATGATGCGGCTGTTGTCCTGAGGATCGACTTCTTGTCCATCTCTCACTGCACTCATTACCGCTACCAGATCCTTAGGTACAGAAACCTGAAGAAGATAAAGTACACAGTCACACCTGATGAGACATCACCATCTATAAGATACAATTCAACAGGTGTATCACTAAACAGCTGACTCAGGATCTACCTCATGTAATTCCATCTGTACTGTTTACATACTCATTTTGCACATGCATAATTGCGCACTCACTGCTGAGTATTTACACTCCATGGCTCCCACTGAGCATATATTCTCTCTGCATTATATTGTATTTTGTATTTTTTATTCACTTGCTGCTTTAAAGTGCCTTAGATTTGTGATTTTACTGCCTATTTAGATTTGTGTTATTGCTCATCTACTTTATATTTCACTTGTATTATGTGGCATTCATGGGGACGGAAGAATTTCATTGTACAAGGAAACACGTTTCCTAACTGTGCATATGACAAACACTTGACCTTGACCGTGTTACCTGAGCATAGTAGGTGTGTTTGACAGATGGACTGTCCTGACAGGGGATCATACTCCTGCAGTGATGAGCCTGTAAGAAAAACACAAATAAAAGGTAAATCATTAAAACCTGCATTAAGATTCCCCCTCAGTCTGATAACCACAGTGACAGTGGGACAGGACATGGTGTCTCCCAGCTAGACCCCCCTCCATGACCCTCTGCTGCCTACAGCCTCCTGTTGTTATTCCAGCTTCTCCACCCTGTGTTGTCAAAGTACGGTCTGTAAATCAGCCCCGCCTGCTGCCTAGCCAAGGTTAGAAGAAGGTTTTTTCCAGCTACCAGTAGTCATGTCAAACAGCCATGGAGGAGCTCTGGGCGGCTAAAGGTCTGAACCAGTAGCTGCCAGAGTGAAGAGGTGGCGTCTTTTGCACAAAGAGAGTGGGACAAAGAACGAGCAACAACCAGGGTTAACATGGGTTTGGCTGTTTGACATGGAGAGGGTTAAAAGCAGCCAGAGGACTCAGATTGGATTCAGATGTGATGTTCTTCCTTCTGGATGTGTTAGCATCTAAAGCTAACCTGTTTGTTTTGGTAGCATTAGCCACCTAGCATGGTCATACCTTTTCTTTTTAATTTAAATATTATCTTACAATAACAATTGATCTCGCAATATTTTTAAACAAGTACACTTTAGGCACTGCTAGTTCTCAAAGGCCAGATGCACAAGCAGGGCCTTTCCAGCGTGAAGCTTGGTATGTCTGTGAAAACATTCTTCAAAGTTGAAAATGAGTTTTCACATGTGGCACCAAATGTAAAGCGAGTTTCAATGCCATCAACACACTTGGCATGGAAATGTGTTGTATACAATACGTTTAGCTACAATCCACAGATGGGTGACAATGATGAAAGCCTCCAGTTAATCCAAAATGCTGCAGCCAGAGTACTGACGGGAACTGAACTAGCAAGAGAGATCATATCTCTCCCATATTAGCTTCTCTCCACTGGCTCCCTGTAAAATCCATAACAGAGTTTAAAATCTCTCCTAACACACAAAACCCTCAAGATTAAACCGGTACAAAAAAGAGGAAGACTGTTGGCAGTTAGAGGAAAACAAGTGAAGCAACCTGTGTCCTAATCAGTATGTCACCATTTACTTCATACTGCAACACTGAGGAAGTTTCTGACAAAGAAATCTAAGCCACTTCTGAAACTCTCCGCTGTTACAGAAGATTCTGTGACTCAGCACAACAGTACAAACAAAAGACAGCATTTTCAGTTATAGAATACCAACATTTGGGGGGCGACAGTGGAGCGGTGGGTAGAGCAGTTGTCTCCCAACCAGAGGGTTGAAGGTTCGACTCTTGGTGCCTGCAGTCCACGTGTCGAAGTGTCCTTGGGCAAGACACTGAACTCCCCCATTGCCTGTGATGGCAGTGCGTATGCACGCAGCGGCCCGGGGCCCTCAGCTCCAAACACCATTTTGTTGCACGTGTCACAATATTACAATAAATAAAGTTTCTTCTTCTTTGTCTGTAAACTTCTAACTGCAAAACCAAGGATGTGTCTGATGGAGAAATCTGTCAAGAGCCACTTGTGGAAAGTATTACACAAGATTCACAGTTAACACAACAGTCCTGACAGTTAAACATACAAGTTCTCATAGTTGTAGTGTAACAGCTCATCTTTATGTGAACACCTGTCAGGTGAACAGTGACACACTCAGCTTATCAGCTGAGCTGACCCCTGAGCCGAACGCGCACCGACTGACAACTTCAGTACATGATCCAGACTATTTATACAAGCGACAGCTTTGCTTCTTTGTGTATTACCCATTTCATTTTACTCAAATAGTGCTTTATTTTTAAGCAAGATTGTCATTATTAACAGTATATTTTGCAATAAATGTGTACAAATATATTTTGACATTTTTATGTAATTATATTTTTAAGCAAGTGATATGAAAAACTTTCAATTTTGAATTTAGAAGGGTAAAAACATCTGGTTCAATTAGCATCCTGCTAAAGCAAATGTGTAGCGGTTTTGCTAGTAATCATTTATTCCAAAATACCAGTAGTAAATAGTGAGTCTGTAAGCAGCACAAGACATTCCTCTGTTTGACAGTCAAACTTTATTACAGTGTCAACCTATATTACAAGGTATAAAATACATTATTTTGAAATTGTATCATACAAATATTATGAAACTTTGAAAACATTTTAAAGCATAAAATGGCAAGAACTATTTAGTGAGTGAAAACCTATCAAGTGAAAAGATAGTTACTGTGAAACATGGACTCAGTACAGTCCTCACAGTTTTTCCAGTATACAAGTTACTCTGTAATATTAAAAAAAAACACCTTCAGTTGTGTTAACATGGTACAGAATATAGTTGCATATAGTCCTATGCAGGTTGCTGCTTCATGAAGGCAACTCAATTGTGTAATGTTACAATCAGGATAATATAAGGGAACAGTGGCTGTATCATTTATTGCACTATCACTTGGTTTACTTCTGCACAGGTATTAGGTGTCTCCAAAAACTCGTTACGCATCGTAGTTATGCATCGTACTTTACACTTGCACATCCTCTAATTGCTAAATGTGTTTATATTCCAAAGTGCATTTTGAGAATGCTAATATTTCTACTAACAAGTTACCTCCCATCTTCGCACAACAAATGCTTCTTACTTCACTGGGCTCTGTGGGCCAGTTCTCACAGGGGTTCCTGTAAAGACAAAGTGTGGGTTTAGGTTTGGAGTGTTTATCCGTGAATACTAACCCATTATCTGATCATAGCAACATAACATTAGGCTAAAAACAGCAGTATTTAGTTACCTGAGGAAAACAGCAGGGGCAGCTGTAATCCTGGTCATCAGTGTTGTTCATTTCTTCCCATTTTCCAGCCTGGCTCTTGCTCAAACATGTGTCGTTGTTTGGTTTTTGTTTCAGAAGCAGTTATTGTGGTGAAATTTAAAGTAGAAGAGAAGCCAACTGTAACTCACGCTGATCCCTAAGACACTAGAAACGCGGATTGGAGTGGCAGGTGGTTCTGCCACGTTCAGAGCAGACTGGGCTTTCAGGAAGGGTTAGGGGCTTTTGAGAGAGAGGCTGAAAGAGCTGCTGTAGACGCACCCAGTCCGAGGAAACGCAGGTTTTATGAGCAGACAGGCATGTAAACATTTCCTAGTAGACCCCAGAATAAAAATAAAAAAAAAATTGAAAAAGCTTAATATGTCAGCGTTAAACTGGTTCTTGTTTTCATGAAGAACTAAGCAAATATGCACCTGACACTGGCTGAACAGGTAGGGTTGGTTCTTCCCAGCAGTCTGTTCAGGTTTGAGCCACTGCAGAGCCGATGAAGAGGGAGACGTCTCATAGGTCACCTCCACAATCACATGCTGTCCCCTGATTGGCCAAGACAAGCACAGTTGTTACAATTTATTTTAAAAAGCCTTGATGTGAGGAAAGCAAAGACGACATCACCTGGAGATGTCAAACGGCAGCGTGATGTCCAGTGGTGTCCCCTTGAAGCTGTGTTTGGGGCCCAGACTGAAGCGAGCCGGCTGGCCATTCGCAGACACAGAGGCAATTTTCAGGTCTCTGGTGTCCAAAGTCTGTGTCAGATAAGACGATACATTTATCAGTGGGATTCGAGATTAACATCAGACAAGTTGAGTTGAGTCAGCACCCAGGAGCTAATAAACATTCATCTGTACTCTGATCTCAGGTGAATAGACCAAAGTCCATATCGACAACACAGCCCCAATAAATTCAGTCTTACAATGTCATTATGTCACGCTAAACTCCATGCAAAGACATAACAATTCAGCTTCCTTGCTTAAAAATATGTATATACATTTACAGGCAAGAAAAAAAAAACCTTTATATAGAGCAGCAGCTAAAGGATGAGAAATGTTTTAAATGTTAACATTTTAATGGGGAAATTGTGTTTATTAAACTGTAAATTGAAACTCCGCTAATAAACACCTGACAGGCCCACAAACCTGTTCACAGCAGCCCAGCCTTCAAGTCAAAGTCCGAGTGTACTACATCTCGACAAACTCAAGTTTTTCTCCTATTTACAGACCTCAAATGAGGAACTAACTAGAGAAGTGCAAAATAATCAAGCTGACATATGACAAGATGGATGAAGCAGAACTGCAGAGTGACGTGGAGGTTTTTGCAACTTCAAACGAAATCTTAACTTCTACCGAGATTCCAGTTCATCAGAACAGCTGTGTCTGCCTGCAGGCTTCACCTCATCAGAAAGAATTCACGTTTTAATGTGGTCTCATTTCGTTGATTTTCCCTGGTTCGCTACAGAGGGCGAGTGAAAGTAAAACTAAAAAGCTCAGATTTGCACCAGCAAGTTAATCAGCTGCAAGACACCAGTACAAAGTTAGCAACAGAAAATAACTGTGTGATTTAAAACGGCTGTGTTTGGTGGTTACGTTTCACTAAATGCGGAACAGGAAAAAATAGACATGAAAACATTTCAGAGGAGACGCCAGGTTCAGTGTTGACTGGTCTAAAAAAAAAAAAAAACAAACTGGATGCGGGGTCATCCGGGGCTCCACTACAGTGGGTGTCACGTCAAATGGCCTTTTCAAAACGGAGCAATTTAGAGTTCCGTTACAAAACGATATTCAGAGACCTCGTACTACCAGAGTTACAAAGTTAAACACAGACTATACAATGTGTACATTTACACACGATGAAGCCGAATTATGGGGCGACATCATTTTCAGATTTCTTTACAAACTGGCATTTTGAGGAGGAAATTCTGTTCACAGAAGTCTGTGTGTCGGCGGAACCACAGTCAAACACGTTTCAACTGGATGTACGTTACCAGAGTGGAGAAACGGTCCTCCAGAGACTCCACGGTGAGCTCCACCTTCGCCCTGATGGCATGTCTGTCGAAGTCCACGTGGAAGGACAGGTTCAGATGTTTGGTGACGCACCTGGTGAACGAAGAGAAAGCGCACGGGTCTGAAGACATGATGCTGTGTCCGGTAACAACAAACAGACTGGAGCGGCTCTCAGACAGCTGGGGTTATCTACTGGAATATGCCCTAAACACATCCGGTGCCTCATTTTCAAAATAAAACAGTCATTATAACAAAGACTGCGCAGAATAACACTTTTATTTTGAAGCATGGCAGGTAATTAAAAAAAACTTTAGAATGTGTTAATGGATCAAACCCGAATTTGGGCCGAGCTCCGAGGTAATTTGAGAATTAAGCTACAAATACATTAAAATGGAATGGAATGGACTTTCACCCACGACTGTGTCGCCTCCCACAAAGACAACATCATCCTAAAGTTCGCGGACAATACCACAGTGATAGGTCGCATCACTGGCGGGGACGAAGCAGCCTACAGGAGGG